TAAACATTTATGAATATAATATGGCATTTCATAGCTACATATGTATATTTCAGCTGTCAGAGATTTTCATACAACACAGCAAATATTCAGAAACATAATGATGAACAGAATTTATGAAATACCGATAATGCTAAATTTTCAAGACATACTTTGGAACATGTTGAGTTTTTTCCCCTTATTTTTTTCAAGGGGGGGGGATAAATTCTACTAAAATGTTTTGTCTTTAAAATGTTCCACCCAATTTGTAGTGGGGTGGGGTGGGAGGAGGTGGGGGCGGGTGTCTTGGGACCAAAAAAATTTAAGAAGTTGCCAGATATGAAGAACATGCAAGATTTTCGAGTGAAGTATTCAAAAAAAACAAACAAAACAAAACAAAAATACTCAGTACATATACATACGACAAGTATCCGCTCAAAAAAAAATTCATAGATGACTGGACATTTTGGTCTGAAATGGAAGGTAGGCGTGAAATGGAATACTTCGCGGAAACGAGTCAGCATCGGGTTCGGTATACCGAAATTAATTTTTTTAAAAGCGGGAGATGGACAAGAAGATTTCTTCATGTCATCGTTTACGAATATTATCAGTTGGTGAGTGTTTTTCAAGGATTGTCACAATTGATTTACATCCCAGTCGCCGAACTTGACAGCGATCATACTTGAAAGTTAACTATTTTTGCATTACTTTTGTTTTGGTAAAAAAGAAAGCACTACTGCATTTTTTGTTCTGACATTCATTCTTTATTTCCTCCGAAAACATTTAACATGGATTCAATTACCCATGAAGTTTCATACAAAAGTTGTTTCCCCCCTTACATAACTCGCGCAAATGTGAAAGTTGTCCATTGAAGGTATCTTGATTAAGCCAGTGTACCCACTGTACATGATGTACCTGTCATACTTGCCAACCTCCAACATCTAAAAATCTGGTCATGACCAGATTTGGAAAGTAAAAAATCTGGTCATAACGCGTAACGACATTCACGACACATTTACCATGATTAAATTAAATACATATATGTATATATAAGCATTTGTGTTTTGAGAATTATTTTATTAAAATGAGGCTTTAGCTTACAATGACAAAAAATTAATTTATATTAAATTTAAATGTTAAAAGAGCATCAGGTTTCAGTATTCAGTAATGACCTGAATTAAGTGTGGATATTTTTTAAAAAGAAAGTCTTTTCAGAATCTGCATTGCTGATTTGAAGCACATGGAAAGTTTGTACTAAATTTGAAAGTTTTCCAATCTTGGTTTGGAAGTTATTTTTCCTCTCCCGAATTAATTTTATTAACAAGTGCTATTAAATTTACAGTTATGCCTACACTATCTTCAAACACTTTATCTAATAAAAGTTTTTTCCAAAATTCCTTGCTATGTACATAAATATCATTTCTCTTTTTCTTAGTTCAATTTGTCCTGCTGGCCCTGATAACGATCTCGTTCTATCGAAAGCCAGTTTAAACTGGCTTCAAACTTTGATTTGTCAAAACAACTCCCAGGTAATTGTTTACACCTGCACTGATAATTTACTGGTACACTGCGTACTGAACATAACCATCGGCAATGTTTACGTATATCCAAGTTTGGGTTGTAACTGGAAGTAAAAAGTGTAACCTAATTTAGGAACCAAATCCGGAAATCGGGAGATTTTCGGGTTGTTCGGAAAAAATCGGGTGAAAAGTATGACCCGCCGAGTCATAAATAATAATCGGGTTAAGGGTCGAAAAATCGGGTGTAACCCAACGAAATCGGGTGAGTTGGCAACTATGGTACCTGTACATGTGTATACTGGTGTCACATCGCGGTACTTATTTCTTTTGTGTGAAAAAGTTATTCAAAATTCTTACATTAACTTTTCACCAAATAGTATTCATAAACCTATCAATGGCCTTACTTTTTAGTGGCTAATTAATTTCTAATCTTTCTTCGTTTATTTTGTAGTTTATTTTTTATATTTACCTCCTAAAGTGGAGGGGTACTACTAAACAGAGTACGATAGAGTACTTTAGAGTATGCTGGTAAAATTTTATAATTCAATGTAATTAGATTGTTTACATATATACAAACAACTTAAATAAACATTTTTTTAAAATAACATTGCAATATTTGTCTCAAAATTTTGTTTTTTAGCGATATTTTGACCAGAAAATATAAGCTGACATCCCGATTTTTGTTTTGATTCGAGAAAATTACATCAATGACTCATCCAATTTGTAACTAAATAAAAAAATAATGATTTATTTTCTTGTACATGTTGTAAATTATGTTTTTGAAAAAATTTTACATTAAAACCCCAACTCAGTATCACATACAAATAATAAACGTTAACTAAAAAAAAAGTTTTATTAATAGATAAATTCTATTTCAATATCATATAAATAATAATGTGCATATAAGTTACTTCAATGAAAAATACCTATGTTAAGTGGACCCTCAAAAAACTTAAACGTACGTGTGTATGTAAAATAGACAAGAAAACAAGCTATTATCTTGATGATAGAAGTAAAATGTTCTATTGTTAGATCGGGATCGGGGTCAAACGGTAAATCATAACCAGAAACGATTAATTGAAATAATTCTGAAAATAATGAAAACATACACAAATTATTCAAGATATATATTTAATATTATGTTAAACTTAATATGTAGAAACATATATAAAAAGCATTTTATTTGCATTAAATTATAAAAATTTTACCACCGTACTCTAAAGTACTCTATCGTACTCTAGCGTACTCTGTTTAGTAGGACCGAAAGTGGAGAGTCTCATTGTATCGCGGTATTGAAAAACATATAGGCTTGGCACTGTCACAAAGTACAATTTTTATTTTTTAATTTCTGATGTAAATCTACATATAAACTTAACAATAATACAAGTACATGTAATAAGGCTTTCAAAATATGAACTTTATTATGGATTTTACTTTGTTATACAGGATTGTTGTTAACTTTTGAAACCTTAGGGGCCATGTGGGCCCCCAACATTTCAAATTTTACGGGCCCACAATGTGATCCACGGGTCCACATTCTATGTAAATTAAAAATAACAACAACAATAAATCCTAAATATTTTTAATAAATTTTTTTTATTCGTAGTATCGATATGTTTGCAGTATACGAATTTTTGTCACGTTATCTCTTTTCTAAAAACTTTGATCCGATATGTTCATTACATTTTGTAGTGTTTAACCTTATACAGCTGAAGCGTCTATGGTTTAACAAGGGGGCATATTAAATTACCTATGATGAAGTTTGGTTCCGATCTTTTATTGTGCATTTGACACGGTAATTCAAATTCTTTAACAGAGATTTAACCAGTCTAGATGAACTCCAAAAACAGTGTTTCCAGAAGTAAGAAATTGAGACTGAAAAAGACTCCGAAAATAGAGTTCGCGCATGCGCACACACACAAAAATTGACGATTTTTTGGCAAAAATGATGGGTTTACAAAAACTGTCCGTGCAAAGTTTTGGAAAGTATGGCAATTATGCCAGTAGTCAAAAATGTTAAATTAAAGACTTCGGAAGAGATTGTATTTGTGAGATTTTTTATTTTATTTGCAGAAAAGGAGATATTTATTTTCAAAGTCTGCAATGACGTTTGAAGTCAGATCTATTACAGAGAAAATTATATGTTTGAGAAGTAAATATGCATCTAATAAAAGGGATATATATGCAAAATGAGACAATATATATTGTAACTGTTAAAAACTTGACTGAATTTTACACATAAATTAGCATTGCGGTTTTTAATTTGTGTTCGACATCTGAATCGAACGCACAAGTTCTTACCAATGTTATTTACCGATTTTTACCACATACGAACAGATATTAGTATGAAAACATTTTTAAAACTATTATCTATCAATATGAAAACTTAAAAAACACTCTTCTAGAAATTAAGGTCACAATATTCTTCTAAAAATGAACCTGTTAATATTTCTGCTTCGTGGTGAAAAATACGCATTTCCTGATTAAAATAAATACAAGCTGGGTGTCTGATATATTATATCATCAAAAACAAATAAAAGCACCTTTATTGTAGGAACGATTAAAAATTTAAATCAATGAGACAATAAATCAAATAATAAGATAATTCTTACCGGCAGTATTGAATTCGATGTCGTATATCCAATTTATTATTATGCAAGTTTGAATTGATAAATAAGTCAATATCCACAAAAAATTTAATAAATGTAATTATCCATTCAACAAAAATTGAAATAAAGTCACAATGGACTAAATACAGCCATTATACAGCCATATATTTGGAGAAAGTAAACGACAATCCATTGTTTGTATACATCGGACGCCATTTTGCCGCAATGCATGATGGAGCCAAATACTTCATTTTCGGAGTTCATGGGAGTTTGTCTAGACTGTTAACCACTTCAATAAATCGCCATATTTGATCTCAGTCACGTACATGTTTGAATAATATGCTTGTACGCAACACAAATAATCTGGGTTAGTAGAGCATTTTCTTAAAAACTGAAAATACATGCATAAAATATAAAACTGAAATGTGATTATGTTCTGGGGAAAAAAAAACGTTCGCCATGTGGGCGACCAGATTTTTAATATCTAATCGCCTACAGCAAATTTTACTGGCATTTGTGAGTGGGCAAGTGGTTATCCACAACCATGTTATATATTCAATGGTCTAAATAAAAATAAAACGGGAATGGACATCTGTAAAATTTCGTTTTATTTGAATAAATATTTTTCCAACAGGTGTTCCGTACTTTTTAACCATCACAAAAGTCAACATTCAGATGACAGACAGATAGTCCATCAACAAAAAGGATATGAGCTATATATCCTAATTTTTGGAAAATACCGCCATACAATGGAACCCGCGATATAATGAGAATATATTAAATAATAAGTAGTTAATATAAAGATCCCTGATTTAGCTATTTAAGTGAAGGATAAACCTAGACATCATTAGAAACTTATTATAACATTTGATTTGTAATTGAATAGATTAAAAAAATGGCACTACCTGAGCCCTTGGCCAAGTCAACTAAAAACAGAGAAGCATGTGATCCTGATGAAGATTCACCTGAACCTTTGATCAAGAGAACTCGAAAAAGTGAAGTAAGTTACCTGAAAGGCCATAATAAAAAATTCTAGATTCTCATCCAAATTTTTTTTATAGCCCCCCCCCCACTTGAAAAGTGTTTCTCATCTCTTATCCACAATAATATTCTCCTATTCTACTAAATAAGATTTAATCAAAATGGACCTTCACAGGCCTATTTGTCCCCTGAAAGTGGGGGATATTAATTTTGGTCTGTCTGTCCGTCTGTCTGTATTTCTGTCAGTCTGTAACACTTTCGTTTCCACACAAAATCTATATACCTGTTTTTCAGAAATTGCCATATAAATTTCTATTAAGAATTTCATTGAAAACCTGTTGAGTTACTGCTATCAGTATATTAACCAATCAGATATCAGCACATGTTTATGTGCATGTTTCTTACATTTCACACATATATCTTCTTGTATAGAATCTCAATATACACTGTATATAATGAAGTGATGGTGCAATGGATGGCTTCAGACCTAACAGTTCCAGATTCAAATATAGTCGGACAATAAAAACTCTGCTTTATCATTGTAAGCATGGGCAAGTTACTTCACTTAAATGGTGCACCCCCTCAACCCAGGGGTTAACATGGCCTCATCATCATTGATATTTATATGTAAGCATCCTCATTTAGCATGTTTAGTGCAGATGTTAGTTAGTTTAATTCATAGCCCCCTTCTCTGGTAGGATTGGGCCACCATAAGTGATCAAAGGTTTATTTAATAAGAATAAATACAGCTGAACTTCAGTATCTCGAACACTGATATCTTGAATACCATGGATATGTCAAAGTGAACTGGAGGTCCCAACCACTTATTCTTTATGTATTTTACCCTCAATATCTCGAATCTTCAGATATCTTGAAGTATTTTCTCAGTCCCATCGAGTTCGAGATAACGAGGTTTGACTGTATATGGAGTAGGACAAAATCCTAAAAAATCAAAATCAGCAATGTCATGATTAGTGATATTAATACGCAAGCATCTTCATGTAGTGCAGATTCATATTTGTTCAAATAATTGTCCTCCAAAGTATAGTGTTTAGCCAGAATAGGAGATCAGATCTTTACATGGGAGTATGTAGGAAATAATGTTAAAGATAATTTGCAGGAAGGTTCAAACAAAAAAATAAATCTTATTATGCAAGTTTTCCTAGATTTATTCAAACCATGGCCCAAAGGATTAAGTTGGCTACAAATAAGAGGTAAAATATTCATGTTGAAATACATAGGGGGAAAGTCTTCATCTCAAACACAGCAATGCAACAGTAATAATAATTTGCAAGCATCCAAGTATAGTGCAGACTCATGGTGGGGTAAAATTTGTATTCAATATTTTACATTAAAAATCTTCTGAAGCAGAGATAAGATTACTCAGGTGAGCATGGTGGACCCTGGGCATTTTTTTTAAATTCAGTCAAATCTCGTTATCTTAAACTTGATGGGACCAAGAAAACACTTCGAGATATCCGAGGGTTCGAGATATTGAGGGTAAAATACTTAAGAAAAACGTGGTTAGAACTTCCCAATCACTTCAACATACCCATGGTATTCGAGATATCAGTGTTCGAGATACTGAAGTTCAACTGTATTTACAGTTTTCCTTATGCATATTTTTCTGTTTCTTGAAGGACTTGGACAGTGAAACACCAAGCTACAAAAAGGCAGAATTACAGGCAAGAGAGAAAGAGCCATCCTCCCCTTACTCGGATTATACAACTGGTGATGAAGATGAAGGCGAGACAGATTCAAGCTGCTGGAGTGAGCACAAAGAAAACGACTCTGCACGTCATTGGACGTATAAGGATCTGATGAATTTAAATATCAGTTATGAGAAGACACCCTTGGAAAATTTTATCAAAGAAGTGAAAGATGCATTTATGAATGCGAAAGGTTTTTGCCCTGATTCCAGCAGAATGAACAGTGTTTTGAAGAGACATCTTGAAAATTTGGCCTTTTCGTACGATACGACAGATCTTAGAGATGATCGTGTGTATAGCAATCCTTACTTTGAGGTGCGCATGATACTGAAGGAGATGAAGAAATATTTGCAGCAATGGAATAAAAACTCAGAAAAATTGCTTAATGAGAACCAGTAAGTGATAAGTTACCATGGTTACCTGAGGTCAAAGTCTGTTTTTCTGATTAGAAAGTTTCAGCTCATCTGAGCTAAAGGCTCAAGTGAGCTTTTATGATCAAAAATATTCTGTTGTCTGTCTGGCTTCTGTCATCTGTAAACTTTTCACATTTTCGACTTCTCCAGAGATATTGGGCAAATTTCAGCCAAACTTTATTGCCACAATTCATCCGTAGATAGAAATTTGATCTGATGAAGGGCCAAATCCTGTACTTAAGGAAGATAATCAAGAAAAGGCAAAAATGGGCTCACCGTTGGGGTCACAAAAATATTCCTTTAAACAACCACTGGAGTCCTAGAAACGAAATCTTCCTAACATGGAGTAATTTAAAGTTTTTGCAAAAGTAAATATTTGATTTTTTTAAAAACTCAAATAACACATCATCTTGATCCATAGATCTTTTTATTAATTTTTTATTTATTTTGATGAACATTGTAGCATCCATTACTGGACATAAAATAATATATTCATTGATTTCATTCTACTAAGCAATGTTTACCCCCATTAGAACTCATAGCTAATAATGCTGAGTAGTTCTGCTTCATATTAAGAAAATAATTTTTAGCTAGTGGGTTTACATTCCACTGCAAAATGTGGAGGACACTTTTTGGATTGTTTCAGGGTAGGTTCCATGTATAAGTATGTTAGGTATAAAGTTTTCTTCCTTCTGTATCAGTCAAACTGCAGCATTTTCGTAGAACTTCTACACATGATGCTACCATTGTATTCCATTTGATGAAATAGTCCTAAATAGCAAAGAGGGAAAAAAAAGCAAATAAGAGAAAAACAGGGTTTTTTTTCAATTCAGATTTTATGAAGCGTTGGATCCATCTACAAAGAAAAGTGCACAAAAACTGATAGATGTGTTGGATTTTGCTGTGCAGACATTTGCTGGGGAGACCATTCAACTTGTCAGAAAGATACTACTTGAAAAGGAGAGTGATGAAGGGAGAGGTGGAAGAGCTAGAGGTCAAGGGTCAAAGGGTCATCATGGTGGAAAAGCTAGAGAACAGTCCAGAGGAGGGCAAGGGGGATTACATGGTTGTCAGGATACAGAGTTTGTGCAAATCTCTGGGAATTTTCTCAAGAATTACTTTGATATATTTGGGAGAATGTTCTTTTTAGTTTCAGGGTAAGTATAGATCATGAGCACAAAGCAGTAGTTGATGTACAGTGGAGCCTTATTAATCCAGAGTGATCTTACAGATCTCCAGAGTCACCTTTGGAATGAAATTTTTGGGAACAGAATTAACATTTATATCTACAGTAATCCAGGTGCTTCATTAATCAAGAGGATTTGCTGGAGAAAATATATCCAGATTAATGAGGCTCAACTGTATATCAATACCAATATTCAGCTTTAACAGATTCCACTGTTTCTTAAATCTTGACCTAGCTTGCCCAAATGGTACTGCACAGGAGATCATATTTACATTGACAGAACTTACTTGTATGTTTTGTCTTGGGAGGCATACTGGCAATTACATATATGTTGACCTATATCTTTGAGATGAATGATCAAGTTTAAGCTTATAAGCTAATATACAGCAGGTCAATTCCTAAGTGTATGTGAAGTGCATTGATGATATTTGTAAGGATAGATAGTTATGGGCACCATGGCTCTGATGTGTCCGAGTTGCAGAATGTTTAATATATTTTTACTCCTACATTAACATAACGATTAAGAGGTTATATTACGGGTGTTTGTCACCAATGAGGCTTCAGATTCTTCATGTGACACGCGCTATCTGGGTTTCAATGCAGGTTAACATGGTTTACCAATTTAACCTGCATATGGCATGATTGTTATATAATCTACTAAAAACAAAGAATGAATGACCCCACCTTAAAGTCAAACAATAGGTTATTAAAGCTGTAGTTTCCATTTATATATGATCCCCATCCCTCCAAAAAATCTTTGGAAGGGTATATCGGCATCACTGTGTCATATCTTTATATCAGAGAAGCATTAGAGGCTTATATTTGACCCAAAAGTTCTTTTGGTATGTTATCACCTTCATTCAAGTCATGACTAAGTCCAGACTAGTGGTAGCTAGAGTGCTTGCTTGGTGTTCAGGAGATACCATGTTTGATTCTCGTTCTTGGCACTGCATCAAACCTACAATGTTAACATACTAGGTAGTGATTGTTCCTACGCCAAGTGCATGAAGTGCCTGGCACTAGAAGTGAAAGACAGGTTTTAGGATGAGACCTTAAAAACTGAGGTCCTGTGGCACACTAGGAGTTGATAAAGAACCCTCACTGCTAAATTGCCCTAGTTCCAAGTAAAGGTCCAAATTTGAAGCCCTCCACTGGTATGTGGTGACATCTCAAATGCATGAAAAATTCTTGCAAGGGACATGAAACAACAGTCAATCAAGGACACTTTTATAAGGTCAAGGTAACACATGGTTCTGATTTATGTCAAAATTCTGATTTGTGTCAAAATTCTTGAACCAAAGGGGATCATCACCAAGCCCCAAAAATATCCAACTAATCATTTTGTAATTACCACATTGAATATCAAAACCTATTCATGCTATTTATTAGTGTTCTGAGAATTTTTACAGTTTTTTTTTTTTTTTTCAGTGAAGTACATGCAGGATGTTTTACTTTTGAGAACCGTACAGTGTGGACCACACCAGATAGAGTGTATAACTACCTCGCTGATAGTGGCTATCCTCCAGATGAACTCTTCTTCATTGTAGAGGTAATCTCATTGATGTATTATAATTATCATGCTTTTTTGTCACCAGCATGGCGCATTGGTAGAGTGTCTGCTCTAGAGTTGTGGAGTAAAGGAGTTAATCCTCACTTCACGAGTTCAATTCCCACTGTGGGACGTGGAGACCAGTCCTTTGGATGAGACTGTATAAATTGAGGTCCCGTGTCGCAGTAGATGCTGGCACGAAAAAGATCCCTTACTGCTCAATGGCTCTGAGTGCCGAGTATAGGTCAAAATTTGCAGCTCTCCACTGATAAGTGGTGGCATCTCCATATGAGTGAAAAATTCTCGAGAGGGACTTTAAACAACAAATATCATGCCCCAAGGGTTAGGTAAAATTATCTTGTATTGCAATTTATCATATATGTTTACTCCTTAATACAGTGGATAGTAATATGACATCGTTTTCATATCACAGTGGTTTTTTGCATGAAAGTGAGAGAGTCAAAGAAAATAGATTCATATATTAAAATTGTGTTAGAACAGTGATTGGGAAGGGCTTGCGCCATGCGCCATAGTCACATTGAAGTGAAAATTGGCGCATTAAATCAACCACTGGTGGCGCCAAGGTGGGCATTCAAAATTAAGCGATGTTAGTTGAAAATATTTTTGTACGACTTTCTTGCTTGTTTTACTTTCTTTTTAAATGCAGTTATTTTAATACAACAAATGTCATTGGTTAAAAACCCAGCAAAAACTGCTTCCTGTTACATGAGGCGCTTTATTTAGGACAACAAAGGTATACACTTCCAATGTTTCATTGAAAGTTTGACGTTATTGATTCAATATATGAGAAAATTATATTGTTTGCAGGTTCCTTTAAATATACTACACTGCATACGTGAAAAATAAGATTTGGTTAATAAAGAAACGTGTTGCCGTTCGTATTTCACATTTGTTTATCATTTTGTTTTTTCTTAAAATGGCCCCATTAGAATATATGGATGGCCCATTCATTTTCAAAATGGCCCATTAGAAACTATGACAGTTGCGCCATAGTCCCATGGACCTTGATGGCCTTCCCAATCACTGTTAGAAAAGTAAACTATGAATCTCTGGGATAGAAAACACAAACTTGTTGGATAAAATCACATCCAACCACAAACCATGACAGATCCTCTGTATATCTTAAAAAATTCTTCTTTACTCCTGGGCATCAAGGAAGCAAACTGTCTGCATGGTTATTATGAGCAATGTGTCCTCTACCAGGTTTATAAAGTTCATGACCCCAGGATTCGTTTAGTTTCCAAAACACTCCTGCCAGATGATTTGGAATTATTCATAAACCATGAGTAAAATTATGAACTCTGCATAAAAGAATGAAGATCTTGGTAGCATCTTTTTATTCCCCTGCCATGAAATGTGTGGGGCATATACGGTTTCCGTTTCTGTTAATAAATACAGTAAAACTTGTATTATCCAGACACCACTGGTTCCAAATAAATTGGCTGGATTAGACAACATTCTGGTTTAGACAATTATTTAAACAATGGAATTCAGTGTAATGGACTTACAGCTTAGATTGTATTAGGCAAAATTTTGTATTACACAACATCTGGATAAGACATGTTTCACAGTATTTCTTTTATATTTCTATAAGCCAAATACTTACTTGTTATACCCCCCGCAAACAAAGTTTAGGGGGGGTATATTGGAATCAGCATGTCCGTCTGTCTGTCCGTCTGTCTGTCCGTCTGTCCGTCTGTCTGTAGACGAGAGTTTGTCCGGACCATTTCTTGGAAACTGTTGGAAGGATTTGTCTGAAAATTTGTACACTTATTATTCACCATATTAAGGTGTGCACCTGGTATTTTCATTATGATTGGATAATTATTTTGCATTTTACAGGTGTTTTTTTCATTTTTATTATGTGGTTTTGTCTGGATCTGTTCCCAGAGACTATTGCATAGATTTGTATGAAAATTTGTACACTTATTATTTACCATATGAAGATGTGCACCTGGTATTTTCAACATTATTTGATAATTTTTCTGCATTTTACAGGTGTTTTTTTTAATTTAATTTATTGACTTAGTCATTTCGGGTTCATCTCTAAGGTTTGAGACATAGAATCTAGAACATCTGTACAAAAATGTGAACTACAGCTTAAAACTACTCATTAGAACTAAAAAAAACCCACAAAGTATTAAAAACAGTTTTTACATTACACAGCAGATAGTGTAAATCCATTTGTCCCTTGGGAGTAATGAGTGGACATGCATCCAGTTAAAGATTAATTAATGAGTTCAGTGTGGGAAGCTGTTAGGGCATCTCTGATCAAGCAGGTCTTATCTATATCTCAGGGGAATTGGGCAGAAAGAAATAAAGATCTCTGTTGTCTAAGTCTCTTACTTGTAATTTATGTCTGTCAAATACATAGTTACTAAAACCAGCCTTTTATTTTTAAAATGAGTTTGATATAAAGGTATTAAAATCAATTTGATTTTCTATAATTAATTATGATATTCTTTTTTTCAACAATCAATTTGCAGAGTGTCATGTCTCACAAAGATGGCAGATAGTTGCAAACTATTTTTTCAATGTAATAAAAAACACTGTAATTATTAGTGTTGATGTTTTATTAGGCTGCACCTTAGTTTCATTCATTAAATAAAGTGCCCCACCACAGCATGATACGCCCATCAAATATTGTTAAATTATCATAAACAGTTTAGATTCAATTGTTTGAATGACATCTTAGCGAGACAAGGCAGTCTGCAATTTGTTGTAAAGATATAAAAATTCAAATAAAAAATGTACAATAAATAATTAGTTTAAATTATATTATACAATATCATATAACTTTTAATTATTATATACAGTATCAAATTAGTTTTAATTACATCAAATTTATCTTGAAAGTAAGACTAGCCAACAAGAACAATTCAATACAACACAAGCAATTAATTAAGAGACTGATTCCTTTTGCCCAATTCCCAAGAGATGTAGATAACACCTGCTTGATCAGAGATGCTCTACCAGTTATCTCCTCACACAAAACTCATTAATTTCTCTCTAATTTGACATGCAATTTTCTGCTATCAAAATTTTCCTTGACCAGTGCCTGATCATTACACCCATGGGAGAAGTGGAATTTTTGTTGTTACAGATTGCTGTAAAGAACATAATGAAAAAAATAAGACTAGTATTTTCTTGATTTAACACTTTTTTAATAAAGATACTGCAATACTCTGACATCTTTTGGGACTGTGTAATTTAAAAGTTAAAAGACATAGTTTTTTGATTCTAAGTCTAATGGTTTTCTAGTTATGATTTTTCCATATCTGGCTATAGCGTCTTTATTAAAGGTCAGAGCGACCTGGTTTTAATGTGCGACACACCTTCTACCCTAGATGTATCAGCTGACAAAGTTTGATAATTCTAGGCCTAATAGTATTAAAGTTATGAGCCGGACATGAAAAAGCTAACGGATGGACAAACATGAACGCTATAACATAATACGTCCCGTCGTAAGACGGACGTATAAAAATATATAATGAGTAATTAAATTTTCACTGTAAATGTTTAAGGAAATTGTGAACACCTCTCACATCTAGAAAACATTAGTGATTTGGTACTTTCTCTGAAAAACCCAGCGGGGGGTATTTGTCCCTTTTGGACAGTTCTAGTTACACCTAACATTTGCTATCCTTCAATTTTAGGCCAGAAAAGCTGAAATTTCTCATGAAGATTCAACAGATATGGAAAAGCTAGTTGGACAAAATATCATGGGACAAGTTGGATCAGAACTTTTTGGCCAGTCACTACGCTCATTATTTTATCCAAATTGTCTTGGAATCCTGTGTATAGAAACAAAAGTAAGAATTGCTTGTCCAGAACAAAATGTAGATACTGTATACAAAGTTATTTTCGCCCCATGTTATTTTCACCCTTTAACACTTGCAAACAATTTTGCCCCGCTTTAAATTCACCCAGGCAAAGTTTTTGCTTAAGAGATTATGCTGTCTGTTTTGAATTTGCCCCGTTTTAAATTCACCCACTAGCAAAGAGGGCGAAAGGGGCGAAAATAAAATGGGTGCGAAAATTTCCCTGTATACAGTAATTGTCAGTTTAAGTGCTTGAGGCACACCACCATTAATGAAACTGTATGTCTTGGTGCTGACATGCCAGATTGAAATGGGTTTATTTAATTTCCAAGTAATTCCTGCCCCATATTGACCCGGGTTTCATGGATGATGCATCTACCATATATAGTATACTCGCCTATAAGCGGTTTTTTGCGAGTTAAATTTTTAGTCCAAAACTCTGTGTCTGACTTTAAGGTGAGTCATAAAAAGATAAGTATTTTTCTGGACAGCGAAATGTAGTATTTTATAAACATTCTCCACTATTATCGTTGAGCAAAGTCTGGATATATTATGTCATATATGTATTCTAAAATTATACATAAAGTACAAGTATTTACATATCTTAATAACTTTATTTTTATCTTAAGAGTGCATTATGTATTTTTATGCCTCCGTATCAAAGAGTCAGGGGTATATAGTTTTTGCCCTGTCCATCCGTCTGTCTGTCTGTCTGCAAAAACTTTAACATTGCCCATAACTTTTGATTGGTTGGAGCTATGGCTTTCATATTTCACATGTGTATTCCTTGTGACAAGACCTTTCTTTGGGTACCACAATATTTGAACTTTTGACCTTGACCTTGGAGTTTGACCCAGTTTTACAAAATTTTCCCTAACTTTAACCTTGGCCATAACTTTTGAACGATTGGTGCTAGGGCTTTCATACTTCACATGTGCATTCCTTGTGAAAAGACCTTTCTTTGGGTACCACCATATTTGACCTTGACCTTGGAGTTTGACCTACTTTTGAAAAACTTTAACCTTGGCCATAACTTTTGAATGGTTGGAGCTAAGGCTTTCATACTCAGCATATGTAATCCTTGTGACAAGACCTTTCTTTGGATACCAACCACTTTGACCCTTTGACCTTGACCTTGGAGTTTGACTTACTTTTGTAAAACTTTAACATTGGCCATAACTTTTGAACCGTTGGTGCTAGGGCTTTCATACTTCACATATATAATCCTTGTGACAAGACCTTCCTTTGAATACCAACAACTTTGACCTTGACCTTGGACTTTGACGTATTTTTGAAAACTTCAATCTTGGACACAACTTTTGAAAAGTTGTTGCTAGGGTTTTCGTATTGAACATGTTTTTTCCTTGTGATAAGACATTCCTTTAGATACCAACAATTGTAATCCATTGACCTTGACCTTGGAGTTTGACCTACTTTTGAAACACTTTAACCTTGGTCATAACTTTTGAACGATTGGTGCTTCAGCTTTCATATTTCACCTGTATATTTCTTGTGAGGCCTTTCCTTAGGCACCATTAATTTTGACCATTTGACCTTGACCTTGATGTTTGAATTACTTTTGAAAAACTTTAACCTTTTCCAAATCTATTCTAGGGTTGCTGCCAGGGCTTTTATATTTCACAGGTATATTCCTCAAGACAAGACCTTACTTTGGGTACCAACATATTTGATTTGCATTTGAGAAGGTTTAACCTTTGCTATTAGTTGCCATACGAGGGCATCAATGTTTCACAAACACATCTTGTTCTTAATGATTTCAAATTGAATATTGGAATCATTTCTAAAAATATTAATCGAAACCAGGTTAAAACATCAGAGAAATGATTTGAAATGGTCAACTGATTCTGGCAAAAAGTTGTACCGATTTATAAGCGGGTCAATGGCAAATCCCTCCAAAATAACCTCAAAAAATACAACCGACTTATAGGCAGGTATATACAGTAGTTTGTTTCATTGTACAAATCAGATTTTAGATTCTGAATTTTCAGCCAATATTTTCCAGAGAATGGCCAGGTTAATATTGATGGAGCAGATTTAAGATTTATGAGCAAGTCCATTCCCAAGTAACTATAAGTTCTTACCTGAATCAGACTTGCATAGATTAAGTGAATGCACATAGGGATGCACACAACCAGACTTTGGACTCTGAATGAGTAACCAGTAAAAGTTCTTGAAGCAGATCCATTTCCAAATAAATAAAAACCCTATCATGACTAAACTTGCATGAATGGTACATCTGGTGATGTATGATGCACACTACCAGACTTGCTTTAGGTGCTGTATATCTGACCTTTATTTTCTGGATGAATAGCCAGGTTTTAAGATTTTAAAGCAGGCCACAAATTACATCATTTTGAGTAACCCAATGATCACCAAACTTGCAGGGATGATACATCCAAGGATGCACACTAGCAGTCTTGCTTTTGAAGCTGTAACTAACATACACTTCCTGGTTGAATGAATAGCTAAAGATATCGGGGTCATTCTTAAGTATCTATAAATCATACCCAGACATTAGATATTGCTTTTTGTGTGAGGCTTTGCCTTACATTTTGATAACATTTGTCAATTTAATCTTTGATAACCTGTGTTTTCTCTTGTAATTAATATTTTGAATACCTATAATTTCTCTTGTAGTCATTATTTTGATATAACCTATTGTTTCTTTTGTAGTTAATATTTGTTTTCCTGAAAATATCAAAGGAACATTCAGTCAGCATACGTAAAGGGGACACAGAAACAACACAAAATCCAGGGAAGATTCTGTACACCGCACCATTTGACATTCTTAAAGCAGAGGACAGACTGAAAATAGCTGAGTTCATGTTCTGGTTGGGATTTGTACAAGATCCCAGAAAATATGACTTTCTGTGATATACATGTACATGTATCTATAATAGATATTGTTTACCCACTTCTGTTCATCCGTGTGTTATTACATCCCACCCTACGTGTTGTAGAAGGTATGTTTTTGACCCTTCTGTCGGTCAGCCCTTCAGTCCTGTTCTTGTCATCACAGCATCTCTGATGCTGCTCAACAAAATTTCAGGATACTTTGTAGTCACTGTATACAGGGTTATTTTTGCCCTTTCACACCTGCAAACAATTTTGCCCCATTTTGAATTTGCCCAGACACAGTTCTGTTTAAGAGATAATGCCATTTTCTTTGAATTCGCCCTGTTTTAAATTCACCCAATTTCGACAAGGGCGAAAATAAAATGGGGCAAATATTTCCCTGTATACAGTAATAGGGACATAATGAGCATATTCAAAGGAATTTCTTTTTTCCATTTTTTTTCTGGAAATTATGCCCCTTTCAACCTGGAAGTTTGTCTTTCTTCAGTCCTGTTCTTGTCAGCACAACTCCTCAGAAACCGCTCAACAGAATTTCATGATACTTTTTGGATAATAAGGACATAATGTGTAGATATGCAAATTCACAGAAAATTTCAATTCATTTTCCTTATTTTTTGAAGATATGTCCCTTTTGAACTTACAGAAGTTTGGCTAAGCTTAAATACATGTATACTATTGTCAGTTCAACTCCCCTGAAAAAGCTCAGCAGAATTTCATGAAAATTTGTAGTTAATAAGGACATAATGTGTAAATTCAAAGGAAATTCTTTTTTTCAATTTTGGGGGGGAATTATGCCCCTTTTTAACTTAGAAGTTTGTCTTCCTTCAGTCCTGTTCTTGTCAATGTAACTCCTCAAAAAAATTTAAACAGAATTCTGTGATAGTTTGTAGATTAAAAGGGCATAATATGTAGATGTGCAAATTCACTGGAAATTCTAATTCATTCTTTTTTCTGAAAAATATGCCCCTTTTGAACTTAGAAGTTTGGCTAAACTTAAATATATTGCTGCACTAATTTGTCAGTCTTGGAGTTAGGATCCTTTTGAAATTAGAAGTATTGCCAAAATTTTATGTGCAACTTGTGTGGAATGGCTTAGCACATGCATTATGAATTTAAATGATGAAGAAAAGCTGTTTTCTTGTTTGGAAATGTTTTATTCTATGCACCTCCAGATATTACAGATCTGATTCTGATTTGACAAACATCTGTAAAAGGGGAGGAGGGAGGTAATTATTTGTTGTATTTAATGCATAGTATTGCCATTCATTAAAGTGTAGCATTGTCATGCAATGTGGGAGTGTGGGGTATGTGAGTTTGCTAACTTTTTCTTTCATTTGATCATAATTGTACCTAATGAGTATAAACAGTGTATGGTTGTTCAGTGGGAATTTACTCCCGTACAAATCACAAATCATAAACTTGTTGAAATGGTTACATTACAGGTTTATCTTGTTATATAGATATTTTACTACATTTGCTCATTATTATTTCATGATCTGTGACATGGTTTTTTTAATTCAATTTAATATGCATTATTAGAATATTCATGTAATAGAAAATAATGAAATGAAATTGTTAACATTGTGAGATCTTGAGCTGAGAATATTGATGAATAAAATGAAAATTGTGTATGCAGGAGTTTTGCTCCATCATTGTAGTCAAACAGATAAAAACTTGGTCTCTGCTATTGACCTTGAACTTGCCCAAATGACCTTTGGTCAAGGTCAGGACACACTTTCAGGTCAAGGAATTTTTATGCGAAGTTCGAACTTTGAATGTTCTTCTTTTTAAAGTTATGGATTAGACACAAAGGACAAGTGCACTTAAGCAATGCTTAATGGGCCCTTTTTCAGTGCCGTTTTACTGTAGAATATATTACCAAATTGTTCTTTTTCGGTAATAGTTAAACACAAGTGGATATTTCTAATTAAAATCACGTTAAAACATCACCTAAATCAGCATGGATTTGAAACAATTGAAGATTTTTAAATGCATATAGATACCCCAAATCCGGAAAAGTCGTACCGAACCTATTTTGAGTTTCCTTTATTTAAATCAAGGGGAGGAGACATTTAAATCGGACACTTGAACAATCTGATAGTGGATCATTGACGGGCGCGTTTACCGAATGATACTTCTTGCGCTATTTTACCTGAGAAAAAAATCGAATGAAGTTGTATAGATGCCTGTAGCCATAGTAATCAAACTAAGAAATTTGCACGCTTGCATCTGAAATAACACAATAAGTATTAACATTAGTATCCTTAAATTTTAAAATGAAAAAAGGTGTATTTAGGTGGCTTTCAATACCGTAACCATTGTCTTGCATGAATGTTAAAAATGTTTGACGCTTTATGTATGATGACATTTTAACGACACTAAACTCTCCCAACCCTCCCGTGTTCATGAAACCAAATACATACAAACTTCTCTATGCGGCACGACTTCGATATTATGATACAAAACGTTGCTATCTTTTACAGTGAGCACCTTTGAAAAACGTTTACCTGGGTAGAACTCACGTGGCTACCGGTATTTTAAATAATTTATTCCACGGGTGGGTTCAACAGGTCATACAGGTAAATAGCTCTCGCTTGCTATAGAAAAAACATTGAACTTTTTATACATTTTTAATATTTTGAGTACAAGCCTAATCTTGTAGAAATTTCCTACTTTCACACAAGTTTTATAAATGTATAATGGGTTTTTCTTTTTTGTCATTCTCACAAGTTTGTACAACGTTAGGCTGACAGGAAACAAAAGCTTTGAAATGAATGACCGTCCTCGATTTACTATAGAAAATCACGAATGTCGGCTGACCCCTATCACATTGTATGGCTTTGCTCTTTGTATATTTTTGAATTTCACCGATAAAATTTGTTGAATCTTATGGTTTAGATATCAATTAATGATCTGAGATGAAAAAATATGCTTAATTTGATTCATTTTTTCACATTTTACCGGGGCCCATAAGTGCACTCGTTCTTTTACACTTTTTCTTCCAGTGTTCTTGAACTTGTCCAATTGACCTTTATTCAAGATCAAGGTACACTTTTAGATCACAAGTAATATATATACGAAGTATAACCTCTGAATGTTAGAATGCTACAATCAGAACAGGAATTATTATACCCCCTGCAAAGGAAGTTTGGGGGGTATATGTAAGAATTCCCTCGACTATCTAACAGTCCAGGCTATAACTTTGTGATAGATATTCATTGGAAGCTCATACTTGATGCAGAGATTGCTTATGGACCTAAAGTCAATAATGCAAGTTCAAGGTCACTGGCAGAAAAAGTATAAAATTCTTGTACTACCCATAACTTTGTAATAGAAAATTATTGAAAGTTCATACTTGGTATGGAGTTTGTTCATGACCAGTGGGTTTGTCCACACCTAACACAAGGTCATACTGGAAGTTCAAGGTCAATGAAAGAAAATTGGAAAATTCTTGTCCAAGCTTTAACTTTGTAATGCAGAATCATTGGATGCTCTTACTTCTAACAAAAATTGTGTACGACATGAGGGTATTTCATGACCTTGATCCAAGGTCATTCTGGCAAGTTCAAGGACACTGACAGAAAACATACAAAATTCTTGTCTGGGCCATAACTTAGCAATGGAAAATTATTGGAAGTTCACACTGGGTACAAAGATTGTACAAGATCTGAGGGTGTTTCATGACGTTGATCCAAGGTCATTCCGTGTTCTCCTATATTGCATGTTTTTTCAGACCTCCATTCCGTTAGTTTTTACTTCCTTTAATAAATGATATACAACAAATAGACTGATATCAACAAATACATTTATATATAATCACTGATATACAACAAATATATTTAAATAAATGGCTGATATAAAACAAATAGACATATACAATCACTGTTATACAACAATTAGATTTAATATATACAATCACAAATATACAACAAAGAGACTTATATGCAGTCACTGATATACAACAAATAAACTTGTACACAAACACTGATATACAACAATTATGTGTATACTTAATATATACAATGCATAGACATATACAATCACAGATATACAACAATAATATATAATCTGAAATTTCAACAAAATGATTTAAACTACATTGCTGCAATAAAAAAGGTACTCAGTTCTCATGAACCTTCTTCTAAAACTGTGAAATAAATAAATGGCCTTTGGCTTAATGGTTCAGGCTATGGGGTGGGGCTAAATTGGTTATATTCTGAAAATGCATTATATCTAAATGTAACAAAAAATAACATGTCTTAAGTCATTGACATCTAGTAGGCAAATTGTTTTGAAAAATGATGAGTACTCAAGCTTTGAAATTCATGGCTGAGGGCTTTGCTGGTCAGATATCAAAAATAAATCTTTGAAAATTTTCTCTACTCCTTAATATTTGGATATTTGCACAGACAAAAAAGTCTCTTAACTGTATTGATCTAGGTAGGTTTGTTAACTGTTATTGGTCCTTGACAAAACAAAATACTTTGCCTCGCCTTCCATAGATTTGAACAACCTGACATATTCCTATGGACAGTCCCTAGATTTGAACAACCTGACATATTCCTATGGACAGTCAGTAACCAATCTATTAAGTAACAAAAGATGGTTGTGAAACACTTATGCCCCCCCCCCCCCCCCCCCCCCCCGGACATACATTATAGGGTGCACAAGCCTTTATTATGGGCAGTATACATTATGGACAGTGTACATGGAAATAAAATTGACCTTTTGAACTTCAAATCAATAGGGGTCACCTACCGGTACTATCTGAGATGCATCAACCAGAAAAAGTATTCTACAATATCACATCTTTGGCAAAAACACATTTCTCATGATATATCAGTAATTTATTTGTACAACTTTTGCAGAGATAATGAACAGAGAGCAAATAATTGGAATTTTTCTAAGTCGAAGGGGCATAACTCTGTCAAAAATTCCTTGATCATACCCAAAACAAGACCTGACCTAGATATTCTTATGATAAATCTGTATACCAAATTTCATATCATTATGTGCAACCTCTGCAAAGAAAATGAATGGAAACTGTTGGGGGACCAACAAACAGACAGACAGCAGCAAAGCAATATGCCCTCCCTTATCTACAAATAAACAACAAATGTACTTAAAGGGTCCTTAGTTTAACATTGATGACAATCAGAGAGAGGGATATCGTCTGCGATTTTGAATATATCCTAGCCAGAACATGAAATCTGCCATTTTCAGTCTGTCTTCTGGTTTAAGAATGTCAAATGGCTCAGTGTACATAATCTTCCCTGGATCTTCTGCTGATCCTTTATCTCCACTATGTATGCTGACTGAATGCTCCATTGATATTTTCAGGAAAACAAAAATCAACTACAAGAGAAAACATATTAAATAATCAAAGATTGCATCAACTGACAGTTTGATGATTCCAGGCCACTTAGTAAAATATTTGAATTAAGCCATTTAAGTCACTGTGACCTACTTTTTGGTTGATATACTCTGAGGCCTTAAGTTGATGATCTTAGAGTATAAAGTGTTCAAAATATGCATCTAAAACAATATAAAATGAGTACCTGCAAAATGTAAAAAGTAGGTCATTGTGTTCCAAGACCCCATGGGTCATTGTGTTCCAAGACCCCATTGTGCATCAACTTATTAGTTCATACTACTATTTCTTCGTATTACAATTACAAACGAGCAGATGATTCTAAACCTCTCAGTATTCGAAATAATGAACTAAAATGTTTTGAAAATGATTAGCAAAAAATTTCCAGAAAAAGGACATGGTGACCTACTTTATGGTTGACACATTTCAAGGCCCCATGAGGCATCACAGGGTTCGAAATTCACTATATATAACTCACAAAATGCGAGTTAGAATTCCTAAATTGCAAGTTAAAAATTAGGTAACTCGCAAAAACTTGCGATTTGATTATTTTTCCTTGAGAAAAAATCAGTCCCTTCTTGATTATAGTTTTCATTTTCCCCCTTCTTTAAATATCAGCATGGCTAGTTTTTTTTTTTTTTTTTTTTTAAAACGGCAGTTGGGAGAGGGTGCTGAAAACAAATGAACAGCACCAACAATGATGATCATATGTTTCATTTGAAATCTTGAAAAATAAAGAGGGATGAGAAAAGAGTTAAATATAACCTCGCAAAAGAAAACAGTTGTGAATGACTTATTTCTGAAACTCTATTATAAAATTTGTCAGAACTTTGTCACTTTATTATAATAGATGTTTAAATACAGTATCAAAGATTTATTTCCTCGTATTGCAGTTAAATTATCAAGATAAAGTGAGGAGAAAAAAAAACATGCATTGAAACTTAGCAAAATTATATAATATGACAGAACACAATGCTTTTGATTTAAATCAATAATTTGAATAAAATTCAAATTGTAGTTGTATTTTGTGTATTGAACAAACAGTAGTTACTTATTCCTTAAGTTACATGTATCGGTATTTAATTTTAATTTTGAAAAGGCTTTTATATGAAAATTGCGAGTAGTGTTATAAAATTGCGAGTTCACTTTCATAGAACTTGCAATTATTTGCGAGTTGTAATTTTAGGGAGTTTCTAACCCTGCATTAACTGAAAAACTCAGAAGAGCTAAAAAATAGTGTTATTTTGTGGCCCCGCCCTACCCCCTAGGGTCAAGATTTGAACAAATTTGAATCTACTCTACCTTAGGATGCTTCTATATTAATATGACTAAAAATGGATTTGCTGTTCTTAACAAGAAGATTTTTTAAAGATGTTTCCAATACTTTTGTGTAAAACTTTGACCCCTGTTGTGGACCCCCTATCCCCTGGGGTCATGATATGAACAGACTTGAATCGTATGTAATGAAGCTTTCACATAAGTTTCATCTTTTCTTTGAAAGTTCCAGTTGCACATCTTGTTATGTTGAATAAGAAGTAATAACTTTTACATAAATCCCTGCATTAGTCTCTAAGAATCATGCCTACATGCTGGCTGATTCTTGCTGATTCAAATTTACTATGGCTGACATGGTTCCAATGCTTTTAATGATGCAGACCTGTTTACCCATATTGTTGTCTCTCAGTATTTTTTATTATATTTGTCATTGAGATTTGACATTTGCAAGTAAGATTTCACTTTCCATCAATTTTACATATAAAGAATTATGATCCTGGTTTAGTTTATGCCATCACATCTGCTTGTAATGGGTGAGGAATTCTTACTTTTGTTTCCATACAAATGATTCCAAGACTATTTGGATAAAATACTGAACGACGTGACAGGCCAATAAGCTCTGCTCCAACTTGTCCCATAATATCTTCTCCCACTATCTCTTTAATGTCTGTCGCATCCTCAGGAGAATCTGCAGCTCTATTTGCCTATAATTTAAGGATAACAAATCTAAGAACTCACACAAATTTGGCTGTTTTAGTCAGTTGGTCCTTCACCAGGCCATCTTTAAAAATAAATTGTTTGTTTGCCCTCTCCTGACCAACTAAAAATGGACGAACTCAAAACTTTTTCTAACCACTAGAAAACACTTTTTTTTTCAGCCTGGTTTTTTTTTTTTTTATCCACATCAACAACCATCTTATTTTATTGAAAGCTCCATTTTCAATTAATTTTGAAAGTTTAGCATTGAATTGAAAATTTATGAAAAAAAAGTTTCTTAGCTACCTACTCACCCATCTTTTTATGCCCCGCCATGAATATGGCCGGGGCATATAGTGTTTGTCATGTCCATCTTCCGTCCTTCTGTCTGTCCTTCCATTACACTTTGCGTTTAGCTCTGTTCAAAGCTCAGTTTCAAAGAAACTATCCAAGATATTTTTATCAAACTTCATATGTTGATACATACTGATGTAAGCTATTCAACTGCATCAACATTTTTTGACCTTGACCTTTCTTTTGACCTTGACCTCACTTTTCTTAAATTAGTGTTTAGCTCAGTTCTAAAGAAACCATTCATAATATTTTTATCAAACTTCATATGTTGATACATACTGATGTAAGCTATTCAACTGCATCAACATTTTTTGACCTTGACCATTCCTTTGACCTCACTTTTCTTAAATTAGTGTTTAGCTCAGTTCTAAAGAAACCATTCATAATATTTTTATCAAACTTCATATGCTAATACATATTGATGTAACCTTTTCAACTGCATCAACAATTTTTGACCTTGACCTTTCCTTTGACCTTGACCTCACTTTTCTTAAATTAGTGTCAAACTTCATATGCTGATACATACTGATGTAAGCTATTCAACTGCATCAATATTTTTTCACCTTGACCTTTCCTTTGACCTTGACCTAACTTTTCTCAATTTGTGTTAAAATGTTGCATTACTAATATACCCTCGGCAGGGCATTCATGTCCTATGAACATATTTCTAGTTTATATCCTGTGTTGGAAGTGGGCAAATAAAGATTAGTTTTAAAGATGGCCTGAGCATCTAAAATTTGAAAAACTTGTAAAGAGCTAAATCCATGAAGGGGCTAAATCGGCCTATTTTTTCACGAAAATTAAACTGAGGGGAAGAAGAAAATTAACAAAAGAAATATTATCCTTGGGTATCAAACTTAAAAAGTTTGAGCCAATTTTTTTATTTGATGACGTCATATTTGTACAGAAAAAGTCATAACACGCGCACTTTGCTAGTTTTTATCAAAATAAAGCATTTTTTTCGTCTTTGGTTCAAATTTTTGCTGTGGCCACACCCTTCGAACAAAATAAAATATATACCATTGAAAAGAGGATTAAAATATGAATAAATAAAGTATTTTTTTATTTTGTTCGAGGGGTGTGGCCACATCGAAATTAATACTTTTCGTTCGCTTCAAATACCTTAGCACCGACTCACACTGTGAAAATAGCGTGGATTACCCTACATTAATAGAAAAGAAAAAGTTTCTATATTGTTTTTGTAAATATTAAAAGGTTTCGAAATGCGAATGTTATATTTTTTATAAGTTATTTTGTGTTGTGGTGCAAAAAAGTATGAAAAATTCTCGCTAAGCTTGACTGCATGTTGGACATTTTGTGTACTACGTGCCTCAGTCCTGACCCAAGACTTTTCCTTCAAGAAGTTGATCTATAACTCATCATTATGCTGAAATGTTTTTTTAAAAAAAGTGATAATGTGTTTTCTTTTCCTCTGACAGCCTATTAATTTATGCTTTGAATTTGTTTTCCAACTCCCGGCTCCTCGTCACCATGGTCACTATGTAATCAAAGGGAGATCACCCGAGAAACATGTAGGCTACATCTTTATTTTCTCCTGAGTGGCAGAGTCGGAATAGCGTAGAATATCAAACAATTTACATCGGATGCAACTACCAAGACGTATTTATAATGATTGTTTTGCCACCTTAAAAAACATAAATTGTGTATGTCGTGAAGTCTGCATCGACAGCATTCAAATGGTTAACGTTATGCAATAGAGTCTATTATAACTAACGTTATACATGTATTATAAATAAAACCCATACCCAACATGCATTTCAGAAATCGCCAGTGGCATTTTAAGAGAAAAGATTAATTAATATTTATTAGTGAAAACCTTTACTGATCCGAGACTTCTTAACATAAATTATGTTACGAAGTATTGAACCTAGAAAATTCGAGTTGACAGATCAAATAAACAATAGATTGATTTTACAGATCACTTGTAATTTTTGTGATAGGCCTCTATAAGAAAAATGCCCTATATTGTTTAAACGAATAACTTATATACTACCAAGGCAGTGACAACTATTTATGGTTTGAAGTAATTTCAATATCGCATGCATGCTACATGACCTAGCCAACACATGAAAAAAAAAATGTCAAAGGGAGGCTACTTGCTATCTCTTCTATTTTGAGTTACTCCGCTTAAATGTAGCAGACCCAAGGGAGAGAGGGCAACCAAGATTAGCAAGCATGTTTATAATGTAGTAGTGTAAATTCATGAAAGGGAGATTAGAGCATTGATATAAAATAAGAAGCAAAAAAAATAACCTATTACATTTACAAAAAAAAAAAAAAAAAAAGACAGCGGTTATTGGGAGGAGGGGGGGGGGTTCGGGATTCCCACTCTCACTCATTAAATACGTGGGACAGTTCGATCAATTACTGCTGCCATTTAAACAAGAAAGTAGTAAAGTGAATAAAAAACAATGCCAATCATATTAGTCCTGTATATATATATCGTATAAAAAAACTAATAAATTCAATAGCAGTTTTCCGGCATTTTTTTTTCAATCTCCTTGATAAAAATTTAATTTAAAAACGATTGATTTTTCGTGACTCGGTCATTGCATAAATTTATTATAGATCCCTGGCCCTTAGGTAGCAATTTCAGTTTGGAGGGAGGGGGGCACAGCCATACATTTTCAGTTGGGGGCACTATCAACTACCAAAATACCTTGACAAGCAAAATAAAAAAAACGGGGGGGGGGGGGGGGGGGGGGGGGGGGGATCAGACGTTTTTACTGACGGGGCACAAGCATATAGTGGCTTTGTTTTATATAGTATACTATATATCGGCAAAATTATTTGGGGGGAGGGGGAGGGGCATGGCCACCCCCCGTTTCCTACGGCCATGTATCCTGAATGTATTATTATTATTATTAACAGATATAATTGCAAATTTTGCTTGTCTATCTATTTGTTTTTTTTGAAAGGATGTCTTTATAGAATATAACTTCATAGATCGGGCATTTGAACATATTTTTTTTTTGGGGGGGGGGGGGGGAGGGGGAGGGGGGCTCGACATGTGGCCTACATTTTTTTTTTTAGACGGTCTGTAATTATTGCCATTTACTACTGCCAGTAGCTGTTTTTCGTATATTTTTGTTTAATTACAAAGAGTAACGATCCGAAAACATCCAAGTTAAAAATCTCATATATGCAATATGTATACGATATTATGATTATTTTATCGTCTTCTGTACTCATTATCGCCTATCTATTAGTTGTTGTGTTAGAAATTGCACATGGAGAAACGAAATGTTATTTTAAATATTTGAAAATTATGAGTAAAATGTTAAAACTGGTTTTGAACTATATGAAAGTCTTAGATGTTGTTATGTTTCAATTTAATTTTCACTTCTCACCAGATAACCATTACTTTATGATTTTATTAAAAGGGTTTATAATAGGTACTCCCCAAAATGGGAGTGTGTAAGATATGATATGATAAGAAAACGATTAGTTAGCAATAATTAATTCGATCGTTTTTGTCATCTGAAATCTTCATACCTATTGTGGCTATATAAAAAACGTTTCTCTTTGATGATATAACATATTTATCATAATTAGTGAACTTTATTTCGATTAAGTAATTTACATTGAGTAAAGTGGTATACTGCCATTTCCGTTTATCTTGTTTTTTTTATTTTCAGGTTCCGTTTTGAAATTCAAATATTTCGGAAATCTTGTGTTTTCGTTGGACTCTTAATTTTTTTGCGGCCGATTTGATGCTTTGAATCACTCTTGTTTAAAAGACTGTAGTGGCTTCTTTCCTGTCAATCTGTGGTGCGCAGGATTACCGTCAAACATCACTATTGTACGTGTATTTCATGTATGAACTACAATTTCATTTCAAATGTCCGGGAAATGCCATCAATTACGAAGTGCAACGAAATTCTCAAAATTACAATAAAATAGATGGTAACTTCAAACGTATTCATTTTTAACGCAACTTTTCATTTTAACTTTATGTTTTTGTTATTAAAAAGTACTTTTTTGTTGTTTTCAGTTTAACGTGTCTCTTATTATCATTTAAAAAGTGTTACATGTATCAACGATAATACCAGACAACCGTTGTATATAACAAATATTTGGCATTTCTTTAGAGTGCAAATAGCTTTAATTAAATCAGAACTTCTTGAAAAATTCATAGTAAAATTTTCCCAAAACTTTAAAGAAGAGCCCATATTGGTTATTTTTATTCCATATGTACATATGTTACTTTCTTATACAAAATGTCAACGTCACGACGTTAAAGTATGTAACGTCAACGTAATGACGTGATAGTATTAATGAGGAAAACAATACCAAATTTAAACGAATGTAAAAAGAAAACCAGAAAAGATATTGTTAAAAAATAAATTGTTTTACAACATACAAATCTTAAAGTAATATGTGAGAAAGTTTCATTTATTTTGATTACCTGGCCGATTTAGCCCCTTCGTGGATTTAGCTCTTTGGGGATGAGTTAATTTCTACCTAAAGGGTGAATATGCCACTGGATTGAATGTGTAGTGTGTAACACGTTGATAAACAATCATTGTTCTCTTACAAATTTGGATTAATGTGCTCTCTAACATTCCCCAAACCCTTACGCTGAATTCCCCAAATGAACGTGCACCACCGAATTATGTACAAGGCATCTGAGAGCACAGTCATGCTGCTGTTCTTAAGGAGATTGTTAAAGATATATTTCTTATATATTCCAATGTAAAATGTATATTCCCTATTGTGGTCCAACCCTTTCCCAAGGGCCATAACTTGAATAAACTTGATTCTGTAATACCTAGAGGATGCTTGCATCTTAATACACATTACTATTTAATTAAACATGTCTCTGTTCTTTTTGAGAAATATTTTCCTATATATTCCAATGTTGTTCATACTTGTGGCCTCACCCTATCCCAAGGGCCTTAAAATGAACAAATTTGAATCTACACTTTATAAAGAAGCATTTCCATAAGTTTTGTCTTTTCTAACCCTGTGGTTCATGGGATGGTTTTACTATCTTTTAATTACTTTCTATGAGAGAGGATGTATGTGGCCCTACATATCAACAAATCTTGATTCATTTCACCAAAGGATGCTTTGTGGCAAGAAAATTGAGAAAATTTTATCAGTGGTTCTGGAGAAGAAATTGAAAAGGAGTTGAACTTGTTGAAAGTTGACAAGCAACACAGAACAGGCAACACAGGACAGACAACACAGGACAGGCAACACAGGACAGGACAGACAACACAGGACAGACAACACAGGACAGGACAGACAACACAGGACAGACAACACAGGACAGGCAACACATGACAGACAACACAGGACAGGCAACAAAGGACAGAAAACACAGGACAGATAACATAGAACAGGCAACACAGGACAGACAACACAGGACAGACAACACAGGATAGAACAGACAACACAGGACAGGCAACACAGGACAGACAACACAGGGCAGGCAACACAGGACAGGAGAGACAGGACAGGCAACACAGGACAGACAACACAGGACAGGACAGACAACACAGGACAGGCAACACAGGACAGGACAGACAACACAGGACAGGCAACACAAGACAGACAACACAGGACAGATAACATAGAACAGGCAACACAGGACAGACAACACAGGATAGGACAGACAACATAGGACAGACAACACAGGACAGGCAACACAGGGCAGGCAACACAGGACAGACAACACAGGACAGGAGAGACAGGACAGGCAACACAGGACAGACAACACAGGACAGGACAGGCAATACAGGACAGGACAGACAACACAGGACACACAATACAGGACAGGCAACACAGGACAGGACAGACAATACAGGACAGACAACACAGGATAGGACAGACAACATAGGACAGACAACATAGGACAGACAACACAGGACAAGCAACACAGGACAGACAACACGGGACAGGCAACACAGGACAGACAACACAGGACAGGAGAGACAGGACAGGCAACACAGGACAGGCAACACAGGACAGGACAGGCAATACAGGACAGGACAGACAACACAGGAAAGGCAACACAGGACAGACAACACTGGACAGGATAGACAACACAGGACACACAACACAGGACAGGCAACACAGGACAGGACAGACAATACAGGACAGACAACACAGGACAGGCAACACATGACAGAACACAGGACAGGCAACACAGGACAGGACAGGCAACACAGGACAGGACAGACAATACAGGACAGGCAACATAGGACAGGCAACACATGAAAGACAATACAGGACAGACTACACAGGACAGGCAACACATGACAGACAATACAGGACAGACAACACAGGATAGACAACACAGAACAGGCAACACAGGACAGACAACACAGGATAGACAACACAGGAAAGACAACACAGGACAGGCAACACAGGACAGACAACACAGGACAGGCAACACAGGACAGACAACACAGAAAAGGCAACATAGGGATGTCGGACAAGCTTCAATCAGGAAAGATCATGCTACACGTAGCTTTTAGCTTATGTGATACTAAAACGGGGATATTTTCTAATTTTTTTTTCTTTTCATCTTAATGTATATCAATCTACATAATATTGAAGTGTAAGTGTATATTCAACATTCTGGGGCTTTAAATTTCTAAAATGGCTGCATCAGCATGAAAACAAAATGGAACAAAGAACAAGGTATGGTTTCAATACAAATCTTAACCTGTGTTTTTTTAAAAATGAAAGTGATGTAAAAAATTAAAACTCATACTTTCTGAATCATGGAAATTCTATGCAGAAAGATCATAAAATCATTTTTCTCACATGACCTTCTAAATGCTAATTGTGACATCATAAACTTGTACATTTTCCCGTATTTTCTCAAAAAGTTGTAGAAGACACCAATTTTCAATGAAATTTTCTTTCAGATAATATTGTCCACAGGCATCGCCCACAAAAATTTTGAGATATGTGGTTTTTCAAAGAATTTTACACAACATATCTGAAAATTAAAGTGGGCGAAAGCTGTGGACACTATTTTGTAAAGAAAAAAACCCTTGAATTGGTCATTTTGAGGCTTTTTCTGTTCAAAATAGAGAAATGCATCAAATTAATGATGTCATATTTCCAGAATGGTACTCCTTTATGCCATATTTTTTCCTGATTTATCACAGTCAGAGACTCAACTCATATTTAAGCCAGGTTCAAAACTTTTTGAAAACATTAAATTTTTAGGGCACAATAAAGCTAAAACCGCACCTTCTTCTTTCTAAATATTTCAAATTTCACAAAATTTAAAAATATTCATTGTTCACGCTGATTTGAATTCAGTTCTACTGTTCTTTCAATTGCAACATCTGGGTCAGTTTGAAGTGATATACATGTATTCCATTGCCTGCAATAGGAAAGTTTTTCTTTCTTTTTTTAAAAAAGAACTACTCTATCTGTTTCAAAAAAGTCACAGACTTGATATTGAGGATTTTGATTTCTTGTAAATAAAAGGAAAAAATCACCTTTTTATTGCAAATGACAATTTTTTAATTTTGGACTAAAAACTTTGCCTGCACAAGTCCTCAGAATAGCTAAGTGTCAGATTGAAATCTGAAAGTTTCAGGAATGATTGTCTGTCATCTGTAAACATGCAACAATCATTCAATCATTTAACATCATCAACTTTCAGTGTTACTTAATTAAAAGTAAAACAAAAGATGTTTGTGAAATGTGAAACACTTATGCCCCCTTCCCCCCAAATAATTGGAATTTTTCTGAGTCAAGGGGCATAACTTTGTCAAAAATTGTTCGATCATACCCAAAACAGAACTTGACCTAGATATTTTGATGATAAATCTGTATACCAAATTTCAATTCAGAATGTGCAACCTCTGCAAAGAAAATGAATGGAAACTGCAAATAATTGGAATTTTTCTAAGTCCAAAAGGCCAAACTCTGTCAAAAATTGCTTGATAGTACCCAAAACAGAACTTGACTTAGATATATTCTTATGATAAATCTGTATACCAAATTTCATTTCAGTATGTGCAACGTCAACGGAGAAAATGTATGGAAACTGTTGGTGGACCGACAGACAGACCAATGGACAGACAGCAGCAAAGCAATATGCCCTCCCATCTTTGAAGATGGGGCCTAATAATTACCTGTATAATAAACAAGAGTTGCTCATCCTCTGAATTACGACATTTATCAGGGATGTAATGATAGACAATATCAGGAGTGATCCTCAGGATTCGATTTTGAAAAGTAAAGGACCCCTGAATTACTACACTGAAAAAAAATTAAAGCATTGTAGAAACACAACTAAGACATTCCGGTTTATAGTATGAGCTGCATAGACAAACAAACAGATGAATATAGTGATTACTAAATATCAAAGCTCTTATCATGCTCATATATTTCTATAATTATGTCAAATAAAGTTTCTAACTTCTATAGTTCAAAAGGTACTAGGGAGGTCAAAGTTACGACAGAATTACATAATGACAAAACAAAGTAACTGCACCCGACCTATGACTATTAAAACTTTAAAACTAATAAAAGGCTGCTTATGTCCACAGAGTGTGTCTAAGGTCATTTGTTCAAGATCAGAGGAATTGGAAGTGTCCAATTTTATTCTGGTTCATAATTCAGCTTTGAAAAACTGTAGTAGCTATCTCAATTTTTTTCTGCAGTGAGGTGAAAGGACGACTTTATATTTTTTTTATCTGGAAATTTAATTCTGGTTCTTAATTCAGCTTTAAAAAACTGTAGTATCTATCTCAATTTTTTTTCTGCAGTGAGGGGAAGGGAGGATTAATTTTTATATTGTTCTTATCTGGAAAGTTAAGTCAACTTGTGCCTGGTACTAATGAACTAAATCAACTCACCCACTAGTTAGAAAGAATATCCTTCCAAAAAATTCACAGTAAATCTGGAAAATATTTCTACATTCTGTATCCTCGGGACAATCTGTTCCAATTAGAATTTGTTTGGCAAGTTGAATAGTCTGATATGCAAAATCTCCCACAGCAAAGTCCAATTTGATTATTAGTTTCAGTGCATGGTTCTTCATAGATGAGTCCAATGCTTCATAAAAGCTGAATTGAAAAGAAATATGTCAGTTTTTCTCTTATTTTTGCTATTTTTGTTTTTAACTTAACTAAATAAGACTATTTCATCAATACCATGGTAGCATCACATTATAAGTTTTACCAATAAACTGTGCACTTTGAATTGACTGAAGCAAGAAAACTTTAAACCTCACACACTTTTACATGGAACTTACACTGAAATAGTTAAAAACTAGAGGTACTGTGAGCACTGAGCTCACAAAATGATACCCCCTGCTCCCATAAGAGTATAATGGCAAAGACCAGTTATTGCTGTGGGAAATCAAAAATATCTGTCTGATTGAAATGTAAAATAGAGGGTCACAAGGCCATCATTAAAAATATCTTTGTTTCCCCTAACCCCACCCTAAAATCTCAAGTTGGGTAGGTAGGTAGGTAAATTATTTTTTTTTCTGACAGCAGTTTTAAAAATACCTATCTTTATAAATAAAAAAGAACAAAAGAAACAGATTTTTAAACCGAATATCATACAAATGAAGCAACATGTACGATAAATTAATTCACAAATATTATTCATTTGAACTTGTGAAATAACTCAGGCATGCGTAAATTTACTGAAATCGAATATTTACAAAAATACAAGAATTGTAAATACTCAACCATCGGACATCCGAGTATATTTTTCAAACCTACTATCATCTTCGAGTACTTACACAGACAAAATGTCAAGGGCCTCGCGTGGTGCAGTGATTCTAGTGTTTCGTTTTGGAGTCACAACGTAATTTAGGAGCTCATTCTAAGTCACAGGTCCTGACAAGTGACTGGTCAGTCGAATGAAACCGTAAAAAAACGCAGGTCCAGTGTCACAGTATACATGTAGATGTTGGCACGAAAAAAAAATCCCTTACTGATGCTTCACTAATGATCAATGGCTATAAGTGCCGAGTAAAAGTCTAAGTCACAGGTCCTGACAAGGGACTGGTCAGTCAAATGAAACGGTAAAAAAACGCAGGTCCAGTGTCGCAGTATACATGTAGATGTTGGCACGAAAAAAAGATCCCTTACTGATGCTTCACTAATGATCAATGGCTATAAGTGCCGAGTAAAAGTCTAAATAAGGTGCCCTTCACCGGCCCAACAATTTCTTAAAAATAATTTAAAGCAAAGAAACAACCTATTTTCAAGGGCCTAACTAAAGAAAAATACGCTATACGTCTCAGGAAGCCGTACCATAAGCCAGTTTTAAAGATTTCAATACTATTTGGAACGAGTGCACATGTATAAAGAACATTTAATTCAACCAAACCATATCTAAAATGATCAAAGTTTCATATATCTTATGTCATAGTCACGAAATTAATACCCCATAGATTAAAGGTAGGAAGAAAGGACATCTGAATTACATTTATCAAGATGAAATAATTATACAAAGACATATTTACAACTCCTATGGTCCTTTATAGTAAAAATAGGATCATACATGAACTGTTTTTTTTTTAGATCGAAACAAATAATATGCAGTGAAATTTATTGATATGTATACACAAGGTGGACCCCTCATCTGCTCATGGGGCAGGCTTTGCCATGCCTACTTCGTACATTTATCTTAGAAGACACTTGTACATACCATCTTAACACTCCTTAGTCATGGTACAATTAATTCACGTAATGTCTCAAGAGTGTAGGACTCTAGTAGGTTAAAGATTATCAGATTATATAATAAGATTCATACGTCACCATTGTTTTATAACACGAACTAACCCTTTGTGGCCACATGTTGTGGGCGCCAAATGAGAGTAAAAAAAAAGCCACCGTTCTGATAAAAAACGGACTTTGATGAAATTGTATTTTATAAAGTTTAAAAACAATAAAAAAAATATTTATATAATCTTCTTAAAAAAACTTTTCAGTCGGCACGTTTTAAGTGGGTCGGTCGCGTTAGGGGAAACAAAGGTACTTTTTACTTTGGCCCAATGACAATATGTAATAAAGACTCTGTGAAAGCCTCATTAAATTTTATTCAGAGGTGAAGGTGTAGTTGTCTATAAGAGAAGGGTATCCCCAAGTGTTAATATGGCATCCGGAATTGATATTGGCCCAGTGATTCTGATTAATATTGACCCAGTGAATCTTACTGATATTGGCCCAGTGATTCTGGTTGATATTGGCCCAGTGGTTCTGACTGATATTGGGCCAGTGGTTCTGATTAATATTGGCCCAGTGATTCTTATTGATATTTAGCCCAGTGATTCTGATTAATATTGGCCCAGTGGTTCTGATTAATATTGGCTCAGTGATTCTGGTTGATATTGGCCCAATGATTCTGATTAATATTGGCCCAGTGATTCTGATTAATATTGGCCCAGTGATTCTGATTGATATTGGCCCAGTGATTCTGATTGATATTGGCCCAGTGATTCGTATTGATATTGGCCCAGTGGTTCTGATTAATATTGGCTCAGTGATTCTGGTTGATATTGTCCCAGTGATTCTTACTGATATTGGCCCAGTGGTTCTGATTAATATTGGTCCAGTGGTTCTGGTTGATTTTGGCCCAGTGGTTCTGATTGATATTGGCCCAGTGATTCTTATTGATATTGGCCCAGTGATTCTGATTGATATTGGCCCAGTGGTTCTGATTAATATTGGCTCAGTGATTCTGGTTGACTTTGGCCCAATGATTCTGATTAATATTGGCCCAGTGATTCTGATTAATATTGGCCCAGTGATTCTGATTGATATTGGCCCAGTGGTTCTGATTAATATTGGTCCAGTGATTCTGGTGTATGTTTCCGATGATCGATTATGAAAAATTATAATCGATCATCGGAATCGGTAGCATTTTTTCGTCGACAATCGATGTTTTCTGATTATTGGTACAACACTATGATATTGGCCCAGTGATTCTGATTAAAATTGGCCCAGTGATTCTTACTGATATTGGTCCATTGATTCTGATTAATATTGGCCCAGTGATTCTGATTGATATTGGCCCAGTGATTCTGATTGATATTGGCCCAGTGGTTCTGATTAATATTGGCTCAGTGATTCTGGTTGATATTGGCCCAGTGATTCTTACTGATATTGGCCCAGTGGTTCTGATTAATATTGGTCCAGTGGTTCTGGTTGATTTTGGCCCAGTGGTTCTGATTGATATTAGCCCAGTGATTCTGATTGATATTGGCCCAGTGATTCTTATTGATATTGGCCCAGTGATTCTGATTGATATTGGCCCAGTGGTTCTGATTAATATTGGTCCAGTGGTTCTTACTGATATTGGCCCAGTGGTTCTGATTAATATTGGTCCAGTGGTTCTGGTTGATTTTGGCCCAGTGGTTCTGATTAATATTGGCCCAGTGGTTCTGATTAATATTGGCTTAGTGGCCCAGAGAAGAAGCTGAAGATGTGAAAAGGTAATGACAATGGCGATGACAGCTTGTGACAAACAGATGAACACAAGACACTATGTAATAAGGAAAACCAAGTTCAGCCTTTGGCTCTAAACCTGTGCAATACATAATATACATGTTCTCAGTGGCAGATTTAAGGGGGGGTGCACCCAGAGCGCGCCCCCCTAAAACTGTTAAAGTTGGCGTAAATCGTAGTTTCGTCGAGAAAATGTAAAAATGTCTACTCGGTAGGCCCCATTTTTACCCTGCAAAATCTCTAAATCCAGGAGCTTCCGGGGGCTTCGCCCCCTTGGCCCCCACCAGGGCTTAGCCCTGGACCCACTGGGGGCCTTAAGGCAGCCCCCACACCCCCCTTAACTTCAATTCCTGGATCCGTGCCTGGTTCTTGTATAAATATACCTAAGATGACAGAAAATCTTGATCAGAAAAACTGATTTTGACAGAAGCGTATGACAGAGGTAACTATAAACTTACTGGTTCTTCTGTAGTGTTTCTTCTGGCTCTTCCCCATGTGTCCACTGCCGTTCATATTCCATCATCTCCTCTGATATTCTCTCCAGCTCCTCTCTAGGGACACCATACTTCCGTACAATTCTAAGTTTTGCCAAATCATATGAAAATGTCAAATTTTCCAGATGTTTCCTCAAAATATTGGTCATTTTGCTGGGATCAGGGAAAAAATATCTCTCACTCTGAAGAACATCTTTCACTTCACTGATAAATTTTTCCAAGGGTTCTTGTGTTTCCTCATAAAAGATATTTACAGACTTCAGATCTTTGTAACTCCAATGACTGGTCGAATAGGTTCCTTGTTCTTTACTTGATTGGCTTGAATCAGTTGAATAGTCTGAATGATTTGATGGTGGGCATTTCTTCTTATTACTGGAGCCTAATGTTTCATTTTCAGAGTCCTTTTATTTAAACAGAAAACAATGCATATCTGAAACTGTAAGCATCTAAGGTGACTGTAATTTGATTTTTAGTTTTACGGATCCCCTGACTCTAAAAATTTGCATTAAAAAAATAAAAATCCAGAATTTTTCAAGCCACTTGTGTCCAATCCATGTTTTATAATAGCAAATCATTTAGACATTTGAATTTGGACATAAAACACGTGCAGAATGGTGAAAGGAGAGCATCGTTGGATTGGTTTCATTGTTTTCAAAAACAGTGTAACTTCACAAAATTATGTATCAATAAATAATAAATGTGTAATATCGTCTCCTTTTTTTTCATCCTATGACATGACCTTTCCTGAAAAAAAATCCGTAAAACTAAAAATCAAATTATGGTCGCCTAAACAAGAGGCCCATGTCCCATAACCCTCTGTGGAATAACCTTGGCACTGCTTGAGAATTTTGTAATTTTTCTATGAAGACATCCTTACTTGTTTCTGTGTCAAATTTTGATCTGCTTTTGTGTACATGCACCCTATCCCAAAAAAAGCAATGATTTCACCATGGTTAATATATTTGAATCTTACTACATGTGGATGCTGGCTAATCAATATCTATCTGTGACCTTACTGTTCTATAAAAGAAGATATTTGAAAATATTCCTATATATATTTCTTGTCACACTTTGAACACCTACCCTGACCCTATCACATGGCCACAATTTGAAGAAATTTAAATCTACACTACATTATGATGCTGGCATAGCAATATGACTCTGGTCAGGCCAAACAAAAAAATATGTGTGGTTCCGGTTACACCTCCAAAAAAATTAGGGTAGGTAGGTAGGGATTTTTAATTTTTTTTTTTTAAACAAAATGATTTTCTTAATTTTTCTAAATAATACCTATCACTGCTTTGCAAATGACATTTAGATGTGGTGTGATCTAGTAAATATTGGTAGGGGACACCTACATGCTAGCTTGCTTTGGATTTAACACTATTAAACACTTGCACTATGTGGTGCAAGGAGGTCGTCATTGCTGAAACTAAAACTTAAACCGGAGCCATTGATGGAAATTGGGGAAAATTCTGGAAAAAATATGAAAATTGCTAAAAAAAAAAAAAAAAAGTTTAGGGTCGGGGGTAAAAAATAAGGATGGTCGGGTAACCGGAACCACACATATTTTTTTTATTTGGCCTCATGCTGTTCTTCACAAGAAGATTTTTCTCATGGGGTTACAATTTAAACAACTCAAACAGAAAAGTTTACTAGAGCTTTTGTCTCAGGCGAGCTAAATAGCCTATTCTTACTGAGTTTGAATCTTCCTCCTCTTCAACATCCCTTGCTGTCCTCTTCTTCGTTCTTTTTTTAACTGGCTCATGTTCCTTAGTAGTCATCTTAATCTGTAAAATTAAACAAGAATCTACAAACATTCAGGGGTTGAATTTTTTCTGGAAAACCCGCTAGCCCAGAGGCAACTGAACGGTAAAAATTTACTAGCCCAAATCTCAAACTAACTAGCCCTACAATTTTCATGCAGAATGAAAACATAACATTACATTCGTCAAATTAAAATGTCAAACACTTAAGTGACAGAAACAAATTAACTCAGTTCTCGGTCAAAAGAAACCAGTCTACAAAGAAAAGCTACGGTAAACTGACGATCGAGAATTTTTTTTTTTATTCTGCTAGTCCAACGGACTATCGTTACATTTAAATTACTTGCCCGAGTCTTAAAATGACTAGCCCAGGGCATTGGGCTACCATATATTTCAACCTCTGACATTTTACAAATGCCAGTTCTACGCATAACAAATGGCCCATGGGCCTTGAAGGTTAACTGGGTATTATGAGTTTATAAGGTTATGACCACTTTACCTCCACTTAGAACTGGAATTCTTGTTTCATGAGACAAATTTTACACAGTTTGATGAGGACTCTATTTATAACCATTTTTCCATGCAGAATTTAGACTAAAACTGCAAAAGTTTCTCCAATTTCAATCTCTCTATCAATTAGCTATCATGACACCTCAACTGCTGATCTATGCTGTCACAGCCGATGACACTGCATTAGGAAAAGACAGAGGCACAGGGAAAATCAAAGGAAATGTACGTAATAAAAAGAAAACTCAATGTTTTGTAGTTGAAAATGGAATTTATTTCAACTACAAAACATTGAATATCCTCATTTAAAGAATCATGGACTTCATTGTAGATTGATATGTTGTTATAAGGACGCATGTCTACATGGTCAAGTACGTGATATTGACCGAAGACACAGAAAGTGATGGCAACCAAACTTGAGAGGTCACAATCATTTTCTTTCTTTGAAGTCAATTCACTTGACACGAGTCCCCCAGATTTCTTTCCTCCCACAGTTCCATGTGATAAATAAATGGTGAATATAATAGGTTAACAGTTCTAGTTAAGATTTATTTCTTGTAAAAAGCTCAAAAAAAATAATTGCATCTACTCTACAATGTCTTTTGTTACAAATTGCACTATCTAATGCCCCGTTCACACGCAGAGTTTAATTTGAATGAAACATAAGTTACTGAGAACTAAATTTGATCCACGCTCACACGGAGAATTTAATGCGAATCAGTTTAATTCGAATTAGTTTACTGCGCATTAAATTACTTCGCATTTAGCTCCATGTGAACGCTAAGCGAAGCTAATTCGAATTAAATTTTGATGCATGCGTAAGGGCAGAATTTAGTCACAGACCACATGTCGATGGTCAAATATAGGTACTTGTGCTATTTTTGAGTGGAAAACAAAGGAAAATTATGTTAATCACTAAAATGTACACAGACACTATGACATTTTGTCAAATGTGTATCTACTCTGCACAATAGGCGTGATTTATAAATCTCACTGAATAGCCTTGTTGTAGAAATAAAATTATAATTCGCATTAGTTTACTTCGCATTAGCTGTCGTGTGAATGCAATTTAATTCGCATCATTTTACTTCGCATTAATTTACTACGAATTAAACACTCCGTGTGAACAGGGCATAAGACTCCATTATGGAATTGCAACCAACATATGACATCATCTGACATCATGGTCTAGACTGTGTCTCATGCGGTTTGAAGATTGAAGAGGTGGATCAAAGTTAAATGTGTGCGCAAGCTGTGAAAAGGTTGTTGATAGTACATCTGCACTCGACGCAATGGTCGCACCCTAAAGACATTAGTTATAAACTAATATATAATCACTCCAAAAGAATAATCTGATAGTCCTAGCTGTACATGTAATAGACTTGATTGGCTGTCAAGACCTCACTAAGGTAATTTAAACATACTTCTAATATTACACTGCCACGGTGTGTTAATTATGTACGTACAGAAACGGTGAGTCACATGACACCATATTCAGTGGACACGCTTTCGCATCAATATCAGAAACGGATGAATATCGTGTGACGTCCTTTAAGCCAATGAAAATCATGAAAATATTCTTCTTAATAATATATTTCATTATAGTTTGTGTTTAACAAAAGAATGTATAATACGCAAGTTTCGAAATTATCTCCCTTGATGCGCTCTTTTGTTACAGAGGGGAGTTTTGTTTCCGTGTAAACAGGCAGGTGGGACAGTTATTTATATATTGGATACATTACATCATCGATGTGCCATCATAACTGATTGTTGGGATGCACTCTTCGACTCGAAAATTACCGAATTAAAGTAAAGGCGACATTTTTTTCTATGAACAAAAATCGGAAGAAAATAAAATTCGGAACAAAAGAAAACATCAGTGGATAAGAACTTATCAAATGAGGGAAGAGAAAATACACACGCATGTGATCATTGTATGTCAGCTTTCCCTTATAAAAACTTCAAAGAACCCAATACCTTTTTTTAGAAAAGGTTTGTACGATCAAAGAATTATTTTTTTTCTTACAAATACTATGACGGTTCTTTTGTTTTCAAGTATCCTAGGTGAAAGCAAATTTTGTAAATTTGTATAATAGAGCTTTATAAAACCATCAAAATGATCATTTCTTACCATCATCATTAAATGAATTTTAAAAATCCATAGCCATCATTCATTTATGCTGATATGGACACTCTTTGTGCCTCTATCATAGGAGAGTTACAATCTCGAAACTCGCGTATTGACAATGCTCTTCTTTAATATTTTCACAGTTAAATACCAGTAAAGTTAAACCAACAGTACTGTAATGAATAGCTTCTTAGTACACCTGGAGAGGTTTTAGATGAATGATTAGTGTCCCTTGCCGTGTATAGTCCATATAGCCCTTATATAATAACTCCCAAAAAGTCAAAAGGTATTCATCAGGTGTTCATTTGGGATACCACCGCCATAACTAGGCAGGTCCATGGCAATACTCTGGTGGGGTGGTGAAAGGGGCAGGTGATTCCCCCCAGGAAGCTTTTGTTTTTTTTAGCAAATTGAATACTTATTTTCTAACATGTTTAAGTTTTCACTTGTTCATTTTTGATACATTTTCAGACTGTCATACCAAAATATGTCACTAACATGGGGTGTGGACCTTGCTCTTTTTTTTTTAAACTTCATCATGCCATTTCAACCATTCAAATGAAAGGTGGCATCTGCATTCATTGTGTCTCAATTATAAGGGAAATGAAAGACCATTGACAGCAAGTATACTTCTAGAAATTAAAATACAAAATAATAGATTGAGAATTTTTTAAAGTAGAGAGAAAATCTTGGGCCCCAAAAGATCAATGTGGGCTAGCAAAACTTGTAAACTTTGGGGCCCACATCATCCTAAGGTTTAAAATTTTATTTGCAACCCTGATTTAATTACTTATGCCTACTTTTTATATATATTCATATACACATATATAAATCCCATTGTGGGACTTGCAGACCGGTCCTTCGGATGAGAATGTATAAACCGAGGTCCCGTGTCGCAGTAGGTGCTGGCACGAAAAAGATCCCTCACTGCTCAATGGCCCTAAGTGCCGAGCATAGGTCAAAATTTGCAGCTCTCCACTGGCAAGTGGTGGCATCTCAATATAAGTGAAAAATTCTTGAGAGGGATGTTAAACAATAAACAAACAAAATATACACATAAATATTATAAACAATAAAATGTGTTTCTTTCTATGTTAGCCAGGTCCAGTACAATCAGTACATTTAGCTACATAGCTAGAATTACCTACTGTAGGTTTATAAATGTATTTAGCTACTTCAGGTAGCTTTATTTAGCTATAGACCATTTCACGGTAACTGCGGTACTGCTCTTTTGCAGGGCAAAATGATATAGTTTGGTGAAATATGACCTAAAAGTGATTGTTTAATATACATCATTTAATTATCCCTCAACAAAAACTTCGCCAAACGTTATTTATTATTTTGCCCTGCAAAAGAGTAATACCGCAGTTACCGTGAAGGGGCTACAAATATTTGAGCGAAAATCTTTCCAAAAATAAAAATTATGAAAGGAGGCTTTAACAAATGTATATTTTTCAGAAAAACAATGCTTCCTATCCCACAATAACCAGTATAAAAAGTTTAAAGTTGGTTGGTTGTATAATGAAGGGACCTCCAATATAGCGGCCAACGGGAAATAACTCTTGCTTATTCAGGCCTACTGAAAACTATCATCATGTTAACCAGACAGACCAGACCTATCTTCTTTGTTATTGCATCCAAGAAGTAACTGTCTGGACACAAATGAACTAGGCCTATTATATACAGCCCCAAAACTTTTAGAACTTTGATCGCAATTGCACAGAAAAAGACACCTCTTCAAAAGTGATTTTTTGAGTTAAGAGTTGAAAATTATCACTGCATCAAAGTGCATTTTCTGCACATCCTGAGAAAAATGCTAATTTAAGAAACGTTTGATTTAGTAGCTTAATAAAGCTACTTCGAGTAAGTAAATAAAGCTTTGTAGGTAATTCAAGCTACGTAGCTAAATCGAGTTAGTTATGCACTGATTGTAGCAGCTGGTTAGTACGGGAATGTTGCAGAATAAATACATATACCTGCGTTATGTATGCCCCATTTTCTGCAACTTTAAATTCCGTGCAAACAAAAAAAGCATTTTTCTGTTTTTCTTATCTTTAAGTAATTTATCATTAGGTGTTTTCATAATTTCTTTATTTATACAACGTAAAGAAAGTAAACTTACATCTATATCGTCTGTCAAAAAGAACCTCCGCTCTATTCCACATGGCCACATGGCAGGAAGTCTCTCAAATTTCAATTTATCGGTTATAATTTAGATGATAAACGAACCCGAGCGATGCAGCACCAAGTTTTTTCACACGAGAATTAACAAAGAAAATTATTAAGTACTGAATTGTTGAGCCTACTACAGTGGCTAATATTATTATTCTTTTTTCCCTCTTTCACCTAGACACTATTTTTGATATACAAGTACCCAAAAAAT